AGGGAAAGAAAACCAGACGTGTTCTAATTCTTCAAGGAACAAATGGTCATTGAATTTGAAAATACAAACAATCAAGACTCGAGTAAAGAGACCTCCCATTGAGGATAGACCACCTGAGAGGTGCTTAGATCCTCAAAAGTGAAATGAAAGTGCAGAAGTGACAACTCCTATTATTCGAGATGAAAGATTATTCGGAGATGATAGTCCAAACAAAATCTTTGAGAGTATTTTGAAGTGCTTATCGAATATTGTCTTAAGAATGAGTTCGTCAAGTCTCCTAATGTTTGCAGACTCGTGGCATGTTTATGTATTGCAGACTTCAATGGGTAATCTCTTTAATCTTTATTGGTTGGATCTGACTAGCAATAACCTTTCTGGAACCATTCCTGTCTCTAATGGGAGCACACCTGGCCTGGATAAGCTGGTTAAAGTAAAGCACTTGTATGTCTAATCTCTCTCTCTCTCTCTCTCTCTCTCTCTCTCTCTCTCTCTCTGTATTTAAGCTAACTAAAATTCTTTATACTATTCACAGTCATTGTGGAAGCAATCACCTCTCTGGCGAAATCCCATCTCAGCTTTTCAAATCAAATATGTCTCTGATACATGTGTGAGTTCCTTTGAACCAACTATTTATTCACGAGTCTCTGGTGTGCACTTGAATGACAGAACAACATAAAAAAAATCCACGTCCCAAACACCCACTATATTTCATTTCAAATGAATAAAAATAACATTAAAGTACACAATGTGGGTATACTTTACTATTGCCTTGGTAGCTTTGAATCATTTCTTTGCAGTGGTGCACCAAGAGCACTTCTTTTAATATAATCAAACAAGTCATGACACTAGGTAAAAATTCAATCTAAAACTGAGACTTGCCTCTCTGGATTCTGAAAGTTTTTAGCAAGGTGAATCCTAGTAAAACTAATCTGTTTTTGACACCAAGATTTTCATTGCATCATAGTAGTTGGTTGTTGCTCAATTTAAAATGACATTTGCCTTGTATGGTCTTATCAACAAGAAATTCCAAGAACTCATGAACTGGGTAATGCCATTGCCAACCATAGGAGTCATTACATATTACAACAATACAGGAAACTATTGACTTCACAACAATGATGAAATACAACTAAAAACTATTGACTTCACAACAACGATGAAATACAACAGCATAGTAGCTGCATTTCTAACACCATGGACTTTAGTGATCAGTGTGAAGTAAATTTAAATATACAAAATTAAACAACAGAAAATGTTTTCAACCTATAAATTGTTTGCTAGAGTTGATAAACTACATGCAATGCCTTCATGCATTTTGAACGCTGACAACTCCATTGACCCGAAATGGGCCCCATCATACACCTAATATATATTCTTGGTATTTTTCTATAATTTAAATCTATATATGTGGACTTACTCAACAGAACTAGCTTTTCAATTCAAATATGTCATCTTGTGAATTAATTTGAGCAGGGTTTTTAATAACAATGAACTCAGTGGCAAGATTCCTTCAACGCTAGGACTACTGCAGACTTTGAAGATATTGTGAGTATCTCTATCACATACCCAATTAAAATCATAATAAGATGCTAGCTGTGAATACGCATTAAATTTTTTGAATTGAGTATACAGTGTTGGCAATGGATTTTCCTGGATATGGACTCATTGGTGGACCTATCCCATTGAACTTCAACACCTTGTACATTTAATGAGTTGTAGGCAGACAAAAAGAAAAACTTTTTCATTTTAAGATTAGTTTAAAAAAAATGCTTCTATGCTAGTTTCCAGGAACTCATTGGTGGACCTATCCTATTGAACTTCAACGCCTTGTACATTTAATGAGATGTAGGCAGAGGAAAAGAAAAACTTTTCCATTTTAAGCTTAGTAAAAAAAAAAAAAAGCTTCTATACTCGTTTCCAGGAAGTTAGCTTATCCTGCATTAGGTTTTCAGCTTTACAGCCTTTACAAGAACCTGATATGGTCATTTGATGATCATGACTGATCAAATTTTTTTGTTTTTCGTTCAGGTACATGCCTGTCATACCATTGGTTCTTGTCAAACAAACGTGAAGGAATTGGGATAGGATGGAGCTCCTACATTCCAAATTATAATCCAAGCTTCAAATCTTTTTGCCCTTTTTTTTTTCCACAGGTCATTTCCTCTTCCAGTAATATTTGTTAGGATTTATTAGAACCAACCCCATGTTATAGTTTTAACTACTCATTTGTTTTAGTGGCACAGGTGGTGTAACTTACTGTGCCGTTGCGTCTCTCCGGTTGATGGGATTCATTGAAGATGATGTATTGTCTAAAGGCGCATCCTCTTCCATCATAAATGTGCCATTGCTTCTAGATTGGAGCCTACAGGTTTATTTTCTCATTTAATACGGAAAGGGTATTTACTGTGCACTGAAACCCTGTGCTTCTGACACATGAACTGGGATAAAGCTGTTCAGAGCCAAAGGAACTTCCAAATGATTCAATGCTTATGAATGAATCAAATGACACTCCGTGATCTTGCATTTTATCAAACAATTTGCATGTTTGATGTTTTTTTAGTATATCCTTGATGAATTCTCAGCTCTGAGAGTACTTTCACTCTCATCCTTTTCTTCATGCAGAGGCTGGCAGCTAATGGTTGATTTCAAGGTCGACCCAACAAGCCTAGTGACACCTGTTATGCCTTTTGGTAAATTCCAAAATACCTTCTTAAAGCCCCATGGTCTTAGTTGCAGTTCTTGTGGCATAACACAGCAATGTTCTTCTATTGGGTTGGAGGAGTTCTGAGGATCTTAGGGGGCCACAAATTCATCGACGAGAAAGCATTACGCCAATTTTCGTTAACTTGCTCGTCCCAGGTACTATTGTTTCTCCTTCTGCTTCCTTAGATCTATTATTCATTACGTAAAGTGATAAAGTGCTTAACAATGATTAGAAGGGTCCCATCATATGAGCCATGACATACTTGAAAAAATTATATGAAATATGCATAATTATATAGGCATTATACTCCATACAGATCCTCATTGTCTTTGTTTTTCTTTTGGAAACTTATTTATTGCAATGTTATTGATGTAATTTTACTCGCATACATGAAGCATATCTATTAAATCTTCCTGAGGTAATTTACGAAGTTTTGATTTTCATCTTCTTGTAATCGTTCCTGCACCAGTATGGTGGTTTCAATAAATTCCCGGGCCAGCTTCGTGATCTTTATCACTCCTACTACGGATTTTCTGCATTCAGTATGTTAGAAGAACCAGGTGTCAACCCAAATTGTGTTGAACTAGGAATAACAGATGTTGCTACCATTGAACTCTGATTCTACTGTTGTTTCGACAATCGTGCTTTTCAAAGAATCATAGGGGGTTATCTGTTTCATCTCTAGATTTTCTTTACTTGGCGCATTATCACCAATACAATGAATTGATGTAACTTACAACTATTATCTAGTGTTGTAACATTAGGGTAAGGACAGAATGTCTATTGTCACCATATTCATTTAAAGCTTGTGCGCTTTATTTGGGAATATCCATCCGTCTCTTTACGTCTGATGTTTTTAATAAACTTGTAGGAAGAGTGACTTGCAATGGACTGCCTTAATACGATTTTTTTAAGGGTAAATTACAGTAAGCCCCTTAAATTAAAGTAAAGTTATGCTTAAAAATTGTTAATTGTTAATTGTTTAAAATTGTTAATTTTTTATTAACTTTATTAATTGAGTACAATGCAGGGCTACTTCAACTGCTTTTTCTACACTTATTTAATATGGTTGATGAAAGAATGTTATTTAATATGGATTAGTGTTATTTTATTAATTGAGTACAATGCAGGGTTACAATGCAGGGCATACATTATTTATAATATGAGAAGCCCTAATCCAACAAGAAAACAACTAATTAAACTAATTCCTTGCTAGACACAAAAGTAACAAAAAGAATAAAAAAAATTACAAAAATTTGAGAAATTTGGGTTAAGTCCAAATTTGGATACTAGAAAATATTAGAAATATGTCAAAACCGATATCCCCAAATAAAGTTATTACTAGAACATAACTTTCCAAAATTGGCAAAATCACCAATTTGAGGGTCTAAAGGAAAGAATTAGGTCAAAATCCACCGTGCATCATTATATAATCACTATGCTAGTAAATGATGAATTTCAATATTACTATGATTGATTGTTAGACAAGTTTCCATCCTTATTGGGCTTAAAATTGCATGGGAACTAGTTATATTCCATTCACATGGTTTCTCTAATTGAATACAAATACAACTTCCTTGTCTCTGAATTCTCATTAACAGACACTGGTGGGGAAAAGTCGTCTTTGGATTGGAATAAACGCATGCATATTGCCCTTGGTGCTGCCTGCGGACTTTTATACTTACACGAGCAGTGCAATCCAAGAATAATTCACAAGGATGTCAAAGCCGCAAACATTTTGCTTGATGAAAGATTTGAAGCGGTTGTTGGGGATTTTGGTCTTGCTAAGCTGTTAGATCTTAGGGATTCACATGTCACTACTGCTGTGAGGGGTACTGTAGGACACATCGCCCCCAAGTATCTTTCAACTGGGCAGTCTTCTGAGAAAACCGATGTTTTTGGATTTGGCATACTGCTTTTGGAACTTGTAACTGGGCAGAAGGCATTAGATGCTGGAAATGGTCAGATTCAGAAGGGAATGATCCTTGATTGGGTAAGTACTATTTTATGATATCTGTATTTTGGTACTATTTCCTTCTTTTTTATTTTTTTGGGTGCAAAGTTTCCATTTTCATGTTTTTAGGAAGAAAAGAATTGATAGAAGTCCTCTTTGAATTTATAGATCACTAGTGTAAACAACAAGGTAGAAGTGGTTTTGATTGTCAATCAAACAGCTGCTGTGAATGTTCCCATTTGAGAATGCTTGCACTGAGAATAACCAAAATTGTTGATTAGCTTTTTTTATTATTAATTTTCCTTTTATTTATGATTAGGAACCTCTCCAAGGTGGAACCCCTTTTCTTTTCATTTTTGTTTTTCTACCTTTTTTATTAGAAAGAAAAAATGGTGGCCAGTGAAAATGACAGAAAAGAAATGGAAACGAAAATATATTTCCTTGCAAGCATTTAATTAGGATGAAAATTTTGCAAAAAAATATAGAGACATTTGAAATCTTAATTGTAGGTAACACTTTGCATGGACAAGTTTAAATTTTTCTTATGTTTTCCAGTAGTTTTTGCAAGAGATTAAAATTTTAATTACAAATTTACAATGCTAATACAAGTTGTATGAGAAAATTAGTTTTATTGTCGTTTTCATTACTTTCATGCCAAACAAACTCATTTTTTTCCCCTCCTTTCCCTCACTTTCTATCAACTTTCATCCTAAGCAAACTCAGCCTATGGATTTCTATTCTAATAGCATTTTTCCAGGGAAAGTCCCTCCAAAACAACTCTGCACAAGTTGATGTGTCTATGTCTATCTGAGTTGTTCTTTTTGCCATGCTTGCCTTGGAAAATGAAATGCAGTTCTGTTTAGGGCAGCGACTTCACCCAGGCCTGGACAAGTAAAGTTGTGAAAACCTGACGTCCAATGTGAAATTAAACTGTTCTAAACATGTGTTGTTTGTTCATCTGCTACCACTAGTCACTAAATTGCAAAAACTTTAGCTTATATTTTCTTTGCCCTGGTTGACTACATAATGAAGACCACCCTACTTCCCAAAGTTGTATTTTCTTTTTTCCATTGTGTCCATTAATCATGGATCGTAATTATTAGTTGGATTTTGCAGGTTAGAACCTTGTACGCAGAAAAAAGACTAGAAGTGCTAGTGGATAGGGACCTCAAGGGATGTGTTAGTGCAGAAGAGTTAGAAAAAGCAGTTGAAGTAGCCCTGCATTGTACTCAATCGAACCCCAACCTCCGGCCAAAGATGTCAGAAGTAAGAGTGTTATTTAATATGGATTTTGCAGGTTAGAACCTTGTACGTTGATTTTATTAACTTTATTCACACTTATTTAATATGCTACCAATAATAAATTTATTTTGTTGAAGGTGTATTTTGTTGATATATGTATTTTGTTGAATGTTCATAATTCAATTTATTTGTTGGTTTGAATGATTTTTGCAAATTACAGATTATATTGAATAAATTGGATGGATTATTATAAATTACAGGTTTATTTTGTTGGATGTTGCGACCAAATTTTGGTTTTGTTTTTCTAGTTTTGGCGACCAATTGATTAGTTGGGAAATATAAGTTATACTTTTGCCGACTAAATAAAGTAGTCGGTGTATCACCAAGCACATTTGGCGACTAAATAATTAGTCGTTAAAATTATTAATTTTGGCAACCAAATAATTTGGTCGGGAATAGGTCTATTGCCGACTAAAATTTTAGTTGCACAAACATTTCTTTTGGCGACAAACATGTTTTGTCGCGGAATGTGACAATTGGCGACCAAACAATTTGGTCGCGGAATGTGACAATTGGCGACCAAACTTTTTGGTCGTTGAATGTAATAATTGGCGACCAACTTTTTGGTCGCGAAATGTGACAATTGGCGACTAAGATATTTGGTTGGGAAAATATCACTTTTCGCGACCAAAGTGTTTTAGCGACAAAAAGGATTAGTCGCAGGATATCTCTATTTAGCGACTAAAAATTTAGTCGGCAAATCCAACTTTTCCCGACCACCCAAAATTTTGGTCGCGAATTACTTTTGCCGACCCTCAATTGGCGACCAAAGTAGCGACCAAAAAAATTGGTCGCGGATAACTTTTGCCGACCAAAAATGGGCTTTTAGCGACCAATTTTTTAGTCGGCAAAAGTGTTAATTCTTGTAGTGTCTGTACGTTTAAAGATAATCCAAGCTAATCAATTTAATCTCTAGTTCATTAATTATCTTTAATTTTTCACTACAAAAAAAATGGTTTTTTGCGACGGCAAAACGCTGTCGCAAATAATCCAAACGCCGTCTCAAAAGCTATTTGCGACGGTAATTTTTTTTTTTGCAACGGCAAGTGGGGGTCGCAACAAGGGGGGTTGCAAAAGACCTTTAGCGATGGCACTTGCCGTCGCCATTGTTTTTGCGACGGGAATATTTCTTTTTTGCGACGGCAAATTTCTATCGCCGATAGTGGATGAAGATCTGGGCTTTTTTGCGACGGCACAAGCTTTCCGTCGCTAAATAGATTTTGCCGACGGCAAAATTCCGTCGCAAAAATGCCGTCGCAAAAAATGTGGCGTTAATGACTATTGGCGACGGCAATTTCACCGTCGCTAAAGCCTTGTTTCTCAACTAAATTCCACACCTTTTGCGACGGTATGGCTGCCGTCGCAAAAAAGCCTGGCACAGCTTCTTTTTTCTTTTTTTTGCGACGGGATGTTCTGCCATCTCAAAAAAAAATTACAAAAAAAAAAATCCCTCTTTTACAATTATTTAAAATATAAAAATAACCTGTAATGTTGGCAAATGATATAATAATATAAATACATAAATAAAATAACTAATGTTGGCAAGTGAAAAATAGCTAAAAAAAAATCAAAAAATGACATAATAATATAAATCCATACATAAACAAAAGTTGGCAAATGATAAAAATTCCTAATGATGGTCACATAATACATACATAATGTTGGTCACAAATTTAAATAACATAAATCAAAATCAAAACCAAAAGTTTTCGTCTTGATTCTTTCGTGAGTTACAAAAACAGAAGTTGGTCATAATCTTTACGCGCCCACATTCCAC